CCCTACCCAAGGGCTGACTCAGCTGCACACACTTAGCTACACTGACACGGGGACTCTGCCAGAGATGCAGCTGAACAGCTCCCAGAGCCCCTGCCCTCTGCTCCCACGGGGGTCCAAACTCAGCTTCTGGGAGCTGAGGCTGCTGCCTGGGGCAGTGCCAGTCACCAACACCCAGAGTCAATGAACACATCACTCTCCATGTGTGGCTGTGTACACGAGTTTTCTACAGCCTGTTCCACTCCACTCTCACAGCACAGCGCTGTACGGTGACCTCTGAGCTGTCTCTTCCAGCCTCTGACTAGTCTGCTGCTAGGCTGAACAAATGAAGCATTTTCTTCTGACTTTGTCTCCTCACTTTATTATTAAATTGCCTACACATTTCAAATCCTGTAGCACTTTAGGACTCCAGTTTGATCATTACCTTTTGAAACCACAAATCAGGTTTCAACTGAAACTCCAAGCAATGTTGCAACCCTGCCAAAGTCTGTGTTACTCTTTTTGTCTTGTCCACCACGGATGAAACACTTCAGTGCCTGAATTCTCACTGTAGCATTCTGAGTGCCATGGGCCAATCTCAAGGCTACTGATCAGCTTTAGGGACCAGAACGGAAGTGGCTTTCTAGTGTTCCTCTGTTCAACCTTTACAAATGTTACTGTAGCTATTACTTAGCACTAGATTTGTTATTAAATAATTTATGGTCGTATATGCCAGAACTGCTTGCACTTACTTGTGTTGTACCTAGGAGCCTTAACAGTCAGACAGAAATACCTAATATGTGTGAATTTAAGTTTCCTTTCTGCAAAAATATGCAGGGAGGGGGGAAAAGAGGCCCAGTTGATAAGCCAAAGTTATAGAGCGAGAAAGATTTAGGGCCAGGAACTACAGTGACCTGAATCACAGGTGTAAGAACTCCAAAGCCACACACTGGGGTCCACATTAACTCCGGGGATACTTGGTTGTGATTCACAGTGGTATCTTCTAGGGTGAGGATATTCTAGGGATACCCTTTATTTGTGCTTGCTTTTTGTTTTGGTTTGGATGATTGCATGGCATCACTGAAAGGGCAAATGATATTCTGTAGGGTAATTACAACTAGTACATTAAATAACTGGATACAAATTCAAGGCTGAACACACTGCTTTGGTTTTGAGGTTTGCCTTCAGAGTTCATTTGTCATTGCCTGTAGATGCCCTTCAGGACAGGACATCTCTGTTATCCTCTCTCCAGTGCCTGGATTTACAGGCAGAAAACATGCTTAGAGAAACCCATCACATCTCCATGTCACATGCTGCTGACACTGCTGCCAGAGCAGGTGCTGTGTCAAACCCCTCTGACCTCAGCAGCACTGAGGTGGTAGCTCACAGCATTGTCCGTGTGCTGCACGGCCCAGTGCCTGTGTGTGTGGCTGAAGGAGTGAAGGAAGAGCTGGAAGCCGAGGCTGGAGGAGAGCATTTCACCTCAGTTACCTGGCAGTACCCGATGCTGGGGTTCCTGAAGGCATAGGCCGTCAGGACTCTCCTGAGCGCGGCGATGCCCATCTCGTTCTGGAACGCCGGGTGCTCCGGCAGCGAGCGGTGCAGGTCCCGCTCGATCTCCTCCGTCGCAAGGTTGTACTTGCCCATCGACCTCTCCACCAGGTCCTCGTAATAGCCAGGGTGAGTGGCCATTTCATTAATGGCTCCTGGGAGCAGGAGAACACAGGAAGGTTTAGCAGGTACAGCATCCCAACAGGATGATCTGCTGCCCTTTCATCCTGAATATCACCAAGCGCCTCAAAAACAAACAGGAAATGTTATTTCTGTACAGGTGACTAAAACCAAAATGATGTGCTTAGGGTGATTCTCATCCCTTCTTGCCTTCTCTCTGGAGGCATTCTCATAACGAGGTTAAAGACAAGGCAGAAGATAAAGCCTGTCCACCTCAGCCAGAACCAAACAGGAGCAGGAGGAACAAAACAGCTGTGCAGGCACATGGTACCAGGAGCTCCCTCTGCAGTTGGCTGTGGCCTTGGCAATCCTAAGTCACTCAAAACATGTCTCTGAGAAAGCCACTTCCTCTGAAAGGGGTGTAGACTGATGTTTGGTTGCAGAAAGCATGACACATCAGCCAAAAGCAAGAGGCAGGAACTCACGAGCTCTATTACAGCTTCTGACTATGACACAGGACTTGAAGGGATACTTGAAGGGATACCCAGTTTGCAGATGATACAGAACTGGGAGGAGCTGTTGACTCCCTGGAAGGCAGAGAGCCCTTGCAGGGACAGGGACAGATTAGAGATCTGGGAATCACCAACCACATGGAGTTTAACAAGGGCAAGTGCTGATTCTGCACCTGGGACAGGACAACCCTGGCTGGACCTCCAGACTGGGGCATGAGAGGCTGGAGACTGAGCACAAACCTTATTGCTGTGTGCAACTTCCTTGTGAGGAGCAGTGCAGGGACAGCTCTGACCTCTGCTCTCTGGGACAGTGACAGGACCCAGGGAATGGGCTGAGGTTGTGTCAGGGGAGGGTTAGGCTGGAGATTAGCAACTGGTTCTTCCCCCAGAGGTGTTTGGGCACTGAACAGCTCCCAGGGCAGTGTCACAGCTGACAGAGCTCCAGAGGTGTTTGGCCAATGCTCTCAGGCTCAGGGTGCAGTGTTGGGGGGTCCTGGGCAGGGACAGGAGTTGGGCTAGATGGTCCTTGTGGATCCTTTCAACTCTGGATATCCTGTGACACTGTTATAAAGCAACCTGAGGTAGGATGATTTCCATATGACTAGTAAAAAAATTAATAAAATTCTTCAACTTTGGAAAAGATCCTAAAGGACCAAAGAGACAGAGAATCCTTTATGGCACATGATGGACAGAAACATTTTCTCACCATTTGTAACGTAATTGGAGCAGCTAATAAAACAATAAAGTAACTTGCTCCAAATGTTCTCAGACACCGTCTGCACCTTCAGCCCTCTCTGAAATCCTTTCCTCCCTCATGGTTTCAGTTCATCCCACAGTAACACTCCAGTGAACACCCACCTGAGAAGAGCAGCCAGAGCTCCCCTCTCATGCTCTCTGGGATGCCCTTCAGCACCAGGTCTCTGGTCTTCTCGGTGCGATACATACACACCCCTTGGCCATATTCAGCAAAGTGAATCTTCCAGGCCTGTTCTTTCAGGAACTCTTTAGCCTAAAAGCAAAGAAAAGCAGGAAGAAAGATGCAGCTTCTGCTTCCAGCACTCTGCCCCACTGAAATCTTAAGTGCTCAAGTCTGCAGTGTCCCAGCTTTCCAAGTGAGCAAGAAATAACTTGGCTACTGTTCAGTTCTCTTCTTAATGGGCTTCCTCCTCCCTTCTAGTTTCCATCCCAGCAGACTTTGCTGGTAAGAGAATATTGTTGAAGCAGTTGTACTTAAGAGCAGAAATACAAACTCTCCTGGATTTACATCCAAGGTTTTTACATAGTGAAGCTGTTGGTTGTACTGGGCCTAGCTGCGAGGGACTCCCAGCGCTGTGTCCCTCAGCAGTTCTACCCAGGGGTGGGCAAGGTCCTGGGAGGGGAGACAGCTAGGCTGGCCCAGACCGACCAAAGGGAATTCCATGCCACGTGACATGAGATCTAAAGCTGGAAGAGGAGGAGGACAGGGACATTCATCGTTACGTTTGCCTTCCCGAGCAACTCTCTGCCTGTGCTGAGGCCTGTGGTGGCCTGGAGGTGCTGGACACCTCCTGCCCTGGGACACAGGGAATCCACTTCTTGATTCACTCCACTTGTGTGTGGCTTTTGCTTTCCCTATTAAACTGCCTTAGAGTGCCACGAGTTTTCCAGCTTTCACCCCTCTGTCTCCCCATCCCACTGGGGCTTGGCTGCTGCTGGGGCTAAACCACAACATCACATTCAACACTGCTCCTGTGGAAAATACTGCCCAAGTTGTGTGTCCTGGGTCAGAGACACGGTTTGAGAGAAAACAGAACTGAACAGCATTTGGAGGTGTGTTTTACCAGCTTAGGGTTGAACTCCTCGGGTGACCTGCGCCGGTACATGGTCATCAGGGCCTGAGTTGCTGTTGGAATGCCATTGTCATTGAGGTTGAACTGTCGCTCTCCTTCCGACTCGGAGCTGAGGCTTTTGTGAGGGCTGGCGGAGACTGAACTGCTTGACCTTGTAAACACCTGTGGAAAGCAGTGGCAACAGGGCACAGGATGAGTCAGGGGCTGAGCTTTCTGCCTTGCTCTGCTCTACAGTTCGTGCAGGCTAACAGCTAGCAGAGACTGAGCACATGGAACCACTCAGGTACAGGCTGAACATGGGACAAAAATCAAACCAGTACAGAGGAATCAACCTGCTCCCGGTTTCTCAGTGGCTCCCCTGAAACACAATCAAATTCTGTAATTAGGATAACGAGGGCAATGTTGCTTTTAAGTAGACCTGGGCAACTGAACCAGCACCACAGGCCTGGGAACCCCCAGGTGGCTCCTGGTCTGCCCAGAACAAAAGGTCTATATACACCATAGTTCTCATACATGTGTGTACACAGACACATGTTATATCTGTATCTATGTTTATACAGACATATACAAAATAAACTACTTTCCCCTTTGCTTGATAAAACATTCTACTGACAATTCAACATTGTCCATTGTGATTTGGAAAAAAATACTTTGAAGAAAAAGGATTTTCTGACTTCTCAAACAGCTTTGACACAGTAAAATCTCATAGAGCAGTTTGATTTAAATGCCTGAAACTGCAAACACTAATCATGTGTGTCTACATGTGGAATCCTGTTACTAAATACAGCAATAATGCCCGCAGTTATTAATCGGTGTTTATAGGTCAGGAGGTAGGAGACTCAGACCAATTTAGGGCAAGACTAAGAGAAAATTCCAGCATATGTGCTCTGGCACATGACCAAAACAGCACAGCAATTACCCCTCACCAGCCCCAGAGCAGGTATAGCCACTCAGGGCAACACTAGGGCCTAGTACAGACCTGGAACGTGAGATCTACCGACACAAACCCGAAATGAGACTCCACAAAACCCTTTGTTGCTTTGTGGGCTGAACTACTAAACTTTGCTGGGTTTAACAGACCTGAGGAGGCTGTTCCATGAAGCACCTAAGTTTCCTACATAAGACCTGGAATGCAGCAAAAGGCTTGACATTTGAAGAGCCTACAATAAGTGTATCTAACCATGTATTTGAAGAACCATTTACTGGGCACATCTCCATAAGGAGGAGATTCAGAACAGAGTCCACTGGTGCCCAGGACAGTGATGGGTTTTATTGGTTCATATGCTCCATGCACATACAAACCAGCTCAGCTCAGACACTGTTTTCAGAAGAATCAGTGGATGGGATTTAGCAGATAAAGTCTTGAACAAAAGGATCCTCATATCAAACTGATAATTTCTTCCAGTTATTAAAATTCTACAGTTACATTTGACTTGGACAAGTTAATAGATATCAAAAGCATTATCCAATTAACTAGTTAATTAACTATGAGACTTTCCAGCATGATACACTGTAATTTCAGAATGTGGCAGTTAGAGTAGCTCTCCCTCAGAAACTGTTAGTTCTCTTAACTCCAACACACAAAAAATAGATATCCTAATCATAAATTTTAGCACTTCAGATTAAGGAAGCTAAAGACATGAAGAGAAAAGAGGTGACATCTCTGTGCACAACGGTTTAGCCTGACAAAAAGTTTTTCCTGGCTCCCCTCTCCCCATACCAGATAAAATTCCCTTCCTCTAGGAGATCAGCCATGTTCCTCCACATACCTCATCATCCGAGCTGATGTAGCTTCCAGAAATATTTCTTTCCAAGTATATTTTTGAAGTGGTTTGCTGCAAGAAGTCTGAGATCCTCTGTACCAGAAAGTCTCTGTCTTTCAGGTTGGCGAAGAGGAAGGTCATCCTGTTTTTGGTGCTGATGGACAGAGGGCTGGGCAGCACACTGGAGCTGTCTGCCTTCTCCACGATTGTCACCTGGGGGGACAGCAGCCACAGCTGAACATCTCCCATTACCTGCTTCATCTGAGAGCCCAGCAAACCCATGCTCCTGCTGCCCTCGTGTCAAACCACCACAGACTGCTCTGCAGGGAAACGTGGAGTAGACACAAGCACTTACAAGTCCTGAGAGCTGGAGGCTGCTCTCTCTCATGCAGCTGGTTTCCGTGCATTCTCCAGCAAAACTTCTGTGCACTGGTTAGTTTCTTTTCCTCAGGCTTTGTTTTAAGGGAACCAGTAAAACAAAACCTCCTCTGTGGGATGCAGCTCTACAGGCTTTTTGTAGGACTTCCAAATCCTTCTCCTGCTTCCCGACACCAGCACAGGCTGAATCAACAGACTCTGCTTACCTTCTCTTGCCAATACATGTGAACAAGCCCTTTTTGGGACAACACTCTAACTACTGCACTACTAGATTATAGTTGCACACAGTGATAACAACTGTTACTTTAACTGTGTTTTCACAGTACACAGAAACTTGCAACAGAGGGAAACTAATCCCATGCCTTCCCTTACAAAGGGAAACATCTCACCCTGCAAGGTGGAGGTTTCTGCTTGGTCTTCAATTGCTGGTGAAATGGTCACTGATCTAACTGAACTCCAACCTGCAACACTCATGCCACAACCTACTGAGTACAGGGAACTGGTTCTGTGAGTTTCATAAAGCACATCAGCCAAAGAAATCTCAGGGATAAATCCTACACTGCTGCTGAATTATAGAACAGCTGTGTGTTCTGAACATTACCAATTATTAGCCTTGTAACTAATCAGTCAACCAAGTCTGTGCAGTTCACACACTGAACAAAACACAAATCACAATTGCAGACACTTTTAACTCCTGGTTTTATGGCTTTACATGATTTCTTAGGTAATGAAAACTGACTTTCTGCCTGCAGAACACGAAGGGGCACACTGCAGTTTGCTAAGAACTTTTGCTCCAATGGTGAGACATTGGTGCTATATAATGTTATGTGCTGCTTTGGGCTGGGGCTGTTGTCTCATCTGTCAGAACATCTCCAGGATACCACCGAATAATGGAGCTAGGTCAGGGTCTAACCCAGACCTGTAACCAACTAGGAATCTCTCCTTTAGTTGCTATGGGTGCCGCTCAGTAGCCCTGAGGATTGGTGCTACCCAGCGGGTGACTGTTCTCCTTGCTGCTGCTGAGACTTCAACCTGTCCACACAAAAACACCAATTCCTTCTGCCATTTCTTTCTGGTGAAGCTTTGGAGCTGCTTTGAATCCCATGCTGCTGTGGCTGTGGCTATCCAAAGTTTTTTTTTAAGAGATCCTGCTAAGGGAAGGTTTTACCTGGAGGACCATTGTTCCCTTTGAGTTCCAGACAAACAGTGCAACCATACTTGAGTGTCTCATCTCAAATAACCAAAGCCATTGCAACATGCTGCTGAAAAACCGTACCTTCAAAGCTTCCAAGCACTGGTGTCCTCTTAATGCTCTATGGGGGAGAACAGTGCCTTGGCATAGTCCATGGCCCTTCAGTCAAGCCTTGGTTATATCAGCTTTGCTACTACTTCCAAAACTGACTTTGAAATTTTCCATGAACCCACACATCAAGTCATCCAAAAGAAAACCCTTCCCAACATAATTACCATTTTATTGCATCAAACAAACTCTTTACTGAACATCTGCTGGAAGTAACCAGCTTTGGAAAGGGAAACACCAACCTGAGAAATGCTGCCAAGTACTTTCCATATACAGGAATGAACAATTGCAAATCTGCACGAGGAGACACCTCAGAACCTTAGGATTATGAACCTTTCTACACCTGACAAAAGCAAATCTGATCTGACAGATTCTTTAACAGAATTTCCACTCATCAATGTAGGAAGTTTCACCCTCCCCCTATGAGGCACAAAACAGGCATAATAGGGCTGTGAATCAGAATACAAACCATGAGGGAGAAAGGACTCACAAGGGTTGGAAAAACTGACATAAAAACCCTCCCTGTTCATACTAATGGTAGGAACCATGAGCTAAGACACACAGTCATTAAATATTGCTCAGAACACACCACAATGAGATGCTCATGAGAGACTGAAAGGATGCAAAGAGGTTTTTCTCCAAACCCAACCAACAAGTCAAAACCAGGCTGCAACACCCAGCAGCATTTTGCTTTGTTTGCCCTATGAATTCACAAACATAGGTATTTACCTCTCGCAGAGGGATAATAAGGCTGCACAAGTTCTCTTCTTTGCTAGTAAAGCAAATGTAGTTCGTAGAGACAAACATCTGGCCCAGGATATGCATCTTGTTGAAGGGAGTCCAGAGTGTGCAGTCGGTGTGCCCATCCAGCTTCTCGTCCTTGGGCAGGCGGAACAGCGCGCGGTACCTCTCGCTCTTTGCCCTCGCATCGAGGTCCCTGAAAACAAGGAAGTTTGGCTTGTTTTAGGAAGTACATCACACACTAACATACATGCTATGCAAAGCATTGCAGGTTACCTGCAACACCCAACTCAGCACGAGGTGCACAGCAGTTTGCACACAGGGGATGTGGAGTCTTCGCTGCTGGAGGATTCACAAACCACATGAAAATGATTTGCTGCCATGAATGACTTAGCTACACTGATCCTGACTTCTCAGAGGGAAAGACTGGGTGATCTTTCCATATTCAGCTCTGCCTTCCAAGAATTTACACAGCAGATCCATGTTTCATTAACTAGGAATAAAAAAATGCTTCTTTGAGCCTTATCTATAGATGTGACGGAATCCTTAGGCTAGAGATCAGCAGCAGGTCCAGAACTTAGCCTTGCTAATGCATTTGGTGCAAAACACTGAGTAGCAAGGAAGACAAACCTAAGGGATACAGTGCATGCCAGATGTCACTGAGAAACAAAAATACCAGCAGGCACTGGTTAGAGCTCTGTCAGGTTCACTAACACGACCAACACAGAATGCAAAAATTCAACTGAAAGTAACAAATTGCAGTGTGATATCTATAAAAGAAGCATAAATGTTTTCCAGAAAATTTTTCATGCCTTAGAATCTTATGTCAATTTCTATCTCTGCTACCTAAGTTCTAGATAGAATTCACTATCTGGAATAATTTCTCAGTTCTGGTTATAAGATAAGTACGAATCTTTGGCACATCTCTTAATACACTTAACTTGCTTTATTACCTTCCCTCAGTGACAGAAAACTGCCCCAAAACAGATCCCTCATACAGCCAACAGTGTCAGTCCCTCATACAGTGTCGAGAGCTACCCTAAAGAGCTTCTGAGTGAATGAGAGCTTGGCCCAAATAAGTTTATTTTTTGCAACATGTTCATATTCAAACGTTTTCCCTTTGCTGTTTCAACAGGACATCAAGCAATTCTATAAACAATTACTCACATTTTGCCCCTGCTGGAATCAGTCATCCCTTTTGGAGTGACAGTAAATGACAGCAAGGAGTGAGCAGGAGCAGTGCTACCTACCGTTTAAGCGCAGATACCTTCTTGGGGGACTTCTTCTTCAGCTTGGGCAATGACCTGTCCTGCTCGAAGCCCTCGTTGTCCAAAAGCTGCCGCATGGCTATGTTGGCAAGCTGCTCCATCAGCTTGAATGTCTCACTGATATTGAGGAACACCGAGAAGAAATGCTCACTTGACCTTGTGCTCACTTTGATCATGTCAGGGAAGAGCAGCGTCGCGTTCTTCTCGAGCTGAGTGATGTCAACCCAGCGAATGACTAACTTTGCTGAGCAGGAGCAAACAAATAAAAAAGATTCAGTACAAAATGAGCATATTCATGAGCATTTATCTTCCCCTCCCTATAAAGTGCATTCATCTGAATTTTTCTTGCCTCTTAAGGAGCTGGGAGCACAGCATAAAGAGTCACAGCTTGTGCAAACAACTGATCACCTGACAAACAGCAGCTAAAAGAGTGCAAATCTAATTTACTTCATTTACAGAACACCACACAAGCCTTGCAAAGCTGGGTGGGCTAACAGAACTCATCACTGCCACAGAACTTGCTCAGACCCTATGTCCTCTTTTCCTAAGGAGTAAAGAGACACATCAGACAGGTTTGTTATTTTGGTATAGTGCAGCAATGTCAGGTCCTCGACTTTTCTTCCAAGACTAGTACAGGCAGTAGTACTACTGCCCAGGTTACAGACAACTGCTTTGAGAAACACAGAGCAAACAAGAAAACAGGCACATAGTGAAGCAGCATGACAGCCAGGGAATTGCTCCCTGCTCCTTTTCCTAGAGACACATCAGACAGGTTTGTTATTTTGGTATAGTGCAGCAATGTCAGGTCCTCGACTTTTCTTCCAAGACTAGTACAGGCAGTAGTACTACTGCCCAGGTTACAGACAACTGCTTTGAGAAACACAGAGCAAACAAGAAAACAGGCACATAGTGAAGCAGCATGACAGCCAGGGAATTGCTCCCTGCTCCTTTTCCTCAGCAGCGTCTTCCACAGGTTCTAGCAGGTGAGCACTGACAAACTACAAAGGCTTCCTCACAGTTCTCAGCTGCACAGATACCCATTCCTGTGAAAACATACCTTCCCTGCCCATGAGGAAGGAGTAAAAGCAGAGGTGATTAATGCTGAGGTACACCCAGCCCTGCCGGGGAACCTTCCCCTTCCAGTAGCTGCAGGAGTAGTAGTTCACTAATTTCTCCTCTTCTGGCATCCCAAAGAGCTTGTGAAATTTCACTATGGCTTCCTTGAATTTTTCCGTGTCATCATCCTCCTTGATGCCGTTGATTTTGTTGTACTCAGCGATGATGCCCTGGCAGGAGGAAGAAGCACACACACAGGTGTTAGCTGCAAGGGGGCTCAGGTATCCTAAGTGCCACAGGCCACAACAGCCATGGCAAAGGCAAGGAAAGCCTCGCTGAGCCCTTTGTTCTGCTCATTCCTTGCCTTAGGCAGTTACTCTGTCAGGTGGCCTTGCTCCCTGCCATGCCTCTGGCAACAGCAACCAAACACGTCCCATCGGTGGGTGCCTTAATTTATCTGTCTCAAACACTCCTAACAACCCTGTACAGCACCTGTGATTTGAAACATTTTCCTCCTCTAGGTAAATATGCTCCCTGGGCAGACAGGGATAGGATTTCACCAGAAATTTCTTCAAAAGGCAAAGAAAAATGTAAAAGGAAACAAGGATCTGTTACTAAGGAAAATATCAAATGACTTCTCTGACCCCTCTTACTGGACCTTGAGCAAAAGAGAACAGCAAAAGGGGGAAAAAAGAAATCTTCTGTTAGATTAACTATCAGGATGGAAAAGTCATTTCCACTTTCAGGTGCAGGTGACCATGAGACCTGAAGTAGCAAGAGCCTGGTGAAAACCTGCTTTGTGGTATCTCCTCCTGTTCTGTGCTGAAGTTCTGGTCTATTCACTTATTTTCCCAGTCTCTCTTATAACCACTTCTATTGCCTTCGATATGAAAGGGATAAAATTGAAAGTGACTTTTTGCCTTTAACTTTGATACCTGGAAAGCAGAGTATAAGACAGAGAACCATCACTTGTGTTTGGTATTTGTCCCACTCAAAGAAGTAACCATTTCCCTAAGGGATTATATTCCACAAGACAGATGTCTTCTCAGATAAGGTCCTTCCCTGGCAATCTGTCGCCCTCAGAGCTAACTCACTAGCACAACACAAGCAGCTAAGGTTTCTTAAGACAGTTGACTTACTACCTGAAATGTTAAGAGGACTGAGAGGAAGCCAATGCTTAGAGTGCACTCCCAGTGAATAGTCACCTTGATACAATCAGTCTTTTACCAAAGTACTTATTTCTAGATCATTCTCAGTACAGATAAAGTAGTAGTCCTACTACCTCCCCCCGACAGAGAAAACCAAACACCCCCAACCAACCAACCCAACGAACCAGCAGCCCCTGACACCCTTTGGCAGTGTAAATACACTATTAGCTTACACTAAAGGTAGTGTAAATGCCAGCACTGCAGGGCTTAGCTGCACCCAAGAGGGGAAGGAGACATTATGAGTGCAGGGAAAAAAGAGCTTTGCACTGGAGAAAACAGTTACCTAGATAACTGTCGAAGCTTAAGACAGACAACAGTGCAATTAATTTTAGAACCTATAATGACTGAAGCCCTGGCTATGTGCTTATATGGGTTTTTAAGATCACACTGCTGGAGCTACCTGCACTAATCCCACTTGCCCTGACTTTACACACGTGTTGCTACTCAGCATCTGGTTTTCCTCCAAAAAGGCAGTACAGCCTAGGCACTAACAGGGCAATCTGTGCAGCATTCCCATCAGTTTTCCTCCCACAGTCACACGTGTCATTAAAGACATGCATAACAGTATATACACTACCTGTATTTTTCCTCTGACAAAGGTATTTATGTCATTCTCATTTTCAAAGATTGAAAGAGTTTGCAACAAATTCTGTTCAAGCCATTCCCAGTGTTCAGTGATTTCCTTCCTGGAGCAACCTGTATGGAAAAAAACCCCAAAGTCACAAAGGAAATAATGCACCAGTGCCAGTGTCCTCTTCATCACAAACAGGAGACCCTAAGGAAACTTGCCAGTAGCCAGGATGCAACGTTTCACTACATTTCCCGCTAGCAATCCCCAAAGTCTCTCCTATTGTATTTAATCTCACAGTAAATAGGCAGCAACCTCCAATACTATTCTGTGAGAAGCACAAACTGCTTATGTCAGTATCGTTTGCAAAAGCTGCCCAAGGTCACAGTGAAGAGTTAGCAAAGGTGTTTCAGAACCTGTTAGAAACTGAAAACACAACCACAAAAGCTTTACATTCTACCATTAGTTCCCAAAACCTTCACGGTCATGTACATCTATGAATTATGAAACAGGGATAAAATTTCAAGTGTAACAGATAAAAAGGATCATGTTCCTGACAATGCTGTTACAATGTCCCTTCCTCAGAAGAAGAGAGCTGAAAGACCTGTTAGAGAGCTGCATCTTTTAGGGGAGCAGGTTGTCAAAGCTGGTTTACTCTCAATGGTGAAAGAACAGACTGAGCTTTGATGACCCTTGTTAGCTCAGGAGACCATAAAGGTCAAGTGAGATCACTGATACTGAAGAATTAGCATACATACATGAAGTCTGTAAAGTCTTAGAGAACAGGGATGAAAAAGCTTCATGTATGAACTAGAGTTGATATGTGCAAAGTTTTGCATCTATTTTACTGCAATACATAACTTCTGCTTTGATCCTGCTCTCCACACCTTGCAGAAGGAAGTGGTTGGTGCTCTTCAGGATCTCTCTGTGCCCACCCTGAAGGAAGAATAAATTCAAGCACCCCAAGAAATTGTTCCCCCTCTAAGTATGTTGAGGGAATCATATCAAACCAGGACTTTTCAAAGTGTTTTCAGAAAACAAAACATTACATCTCCACACAGCAACACCTGAAGCTTGATTAGAAGTATCTCAGTCCAGGTAGGAAACAGCATCAACACTACGTCTCCTTTTCGTTCAAATCACAGCTTTGGCTCATTTTACTCAGAACTAGCAAGTAAATGAACCCATCAAGTAATGCCAACACAGCCCAACACAGTGAAGGGCTTGTGTGAAGCATCCCTTAGGCAGAGGCTACTAACAACTTCTTCAGCTGACTGCAGCAACTAATGATGGGGAAGAGCATTCTTTCTGCAGTATACAGAGCCTTAACTCCAATGATGGCAGCAGAATGCAACATTCTGTGCAACTTCCAGGGGAAATGCACCACCCTAGTTGTAGTACAGACATATAAATGTGCTGCAGAACATCCCTTATATGTAACCAATACTTCAGAGCCACAAATGATCTCCACTGCTGCTTCTCCTCAACACCACTGGATGCAGCCAGACCCTTCTGGAACTCAGGGGTGGTCTGAGGAATGTTTTATTTCTTCTTGGCTTCTGTACAGAGCAGTGCTGAAATGCATGAGCTATGTATGTACAACCAGCCTGTCAGCAGAAAACTTGCTGCTCTCTTGAAGAGCAGTGAACAGCAGTGCAGACACTGTCATGAGGAACAGTTTCTTAAAGCTGTCTATTCCTGGTTTGTGGTTCAGCAATTAGCTTTCGTCACTTTTTATGGAAATGCTTTGGTTATTATTCTCAACCTGTAACAATCCATCTCATTTTTTTCCACAGCTTTTTGTCTCCACTATGTTACCATTTGCTCTCCCAGACTCACCGGCAGCAGATCATGCGATCAGCCCAAACCTGCATCCCAGCTCCCATCAATTCATCCTCACAGCTGCATCTTCCTCCTCTGCTTTGCTCACTCAGGACTGAAAAACACTTTTGCTGCAATGTTTTAAACTACAGGTTATTTTATCTCTGCTACTGGTAAGTTTATGCCATTTGCCATCGTTGGCCACACAAACCACCTCTGACTCCCAGGGAAGGGGCAAAAACCTCGTGTAACAGTTGAAGCACAATACTTCGGAATGCAAAGCCCTCAAAGGCAGCAGGAAACAAAACAGAAAGCAGCTGTGCCACATACACTGAACTACTAATCCCTCCATCCCCTCTAGATGGACACTCAGCTCATGGTGTGCTCCGTGGCTGGAACGGTGCAATGCTGCCCAGCAGCCCTGGCAGACCGAGCTGTTCTCCTCAGTCTTCAGGAAGGAAACTAACAGGCATGTTAGCAGGAGCTGGAGAGCTAAGGAATGCCTAGAGTGGAAGAGCTGCATAGAGGAAGGGCACATGGCTCTGGAGAGAGGATGAGAAGGGGAGTTGCCTAGCAGGTAGGTGCAGTAACAGCATGGAAGCATCTCCAAGTGCTGGGATTCCGTTTCTAACATCTGGGTTGGTTTGTCTAAGGGGTAAAAATACAGGGGAAATGTGACCAAGTTCAGTTCTGGGGAGAGCATTTAAAAGTCATGTAAAATTACTTTCGGACACACTCGTAAGTATAATCTCAGTCTTGTTTCAGTTGGTGACTGAGGGACTGGAATAGCTTGAGACAGCTGATGTCTGGTTTTCTCTTCCAAGGAGATACTTAGCTGAGATGCTGTTAGTCAGCCTGAACTCGCTAGTTGTGCTGGGCCTGGCTGAGCCAGGGTTCATTTTCCCCACAGCAGTGCTCAGTGCTGTGCTTGCGTCGGTAGCAAGGAAGGTGTTGATGACACAGCAGTGTTCTGGCTCAGGCTGAGCAGAGCTGGCACAGCACCAGCACTGCCTTCCAGCATTCCACCCCCAGCAGTAGGCTCGGGTGGGCAAGATCCTGGGAGGAGACAGAACTAGACCAGCTGACCCAGACTGACCAAAGGGGTGTTCCACACCATGTGATGTCAGCCCAGACATGAAAGCTAAAGGAGGAGGAGGAAGGGAGGGCATTCATGATTTACAAGGTTTGCCTTCTGAAGCAACTGCTCCATGTGCTGCATCTTCCCAGGCAGTGGCTGGACATCACCCGCTGAGGGGAAGGAAAGAATAAAACGGTTTTTTCTTTCTCTGTGCTTGTGCATGCACAACCTTTTGCTGTGCTTTAGTGACCTGCCTTATCTCAACCTATGAGTTGTTTTCCACCTTATTTTCTCTCCCGTGTCCAGCTGGGAAGGAGGAATGATAGAGCAGCTTGGTGGGACCTGGCACCCGGCCCACTCCTCTGCCACTAACGGAACTCACTGCAAGAGAGCCTGGATCACTTCAGGGAACCAAAACTGTCCTTGCCAGTAACGGCAGGTTCAGGAATGGACTGGCAAGACCTCAGTTTGCACAGAGAGGGAGGAGAAAGCAGTTGCAGCTGGTAAACTCGACAGCATCTATCTACAGCTTGTTAAACAAAGCATGTAGGCTTTTCTGAAAACCTTGTCCAGGGCATGCAATCAAAGTTCAGGGTTGGTGCTTTGAAACAATTAGTAACTTTTTCACACATGCAATGCAGGTTTAGCAACTTCTAGGACAATGCAATATAATTACCACAAAAACCACACGGCAGTTCTATACCAGAAAAATACACAGAGCTGATTCCATAGGTAGAGAAAGATCTAAAAAGGTTGTTCACTTCCAGGCAGAGTTTCCATACACCATCACTTTCCCCTTGAATTGAGCAGTAGCAGACTGGAGAGGGACATGGGACACAGAAGGGCTATTACATCTACAACATGTTGCATTCTAGGCCATTAATAAGCCTAAAATTGTTCTTGAAAAGTTACCAGTAACATCTTTCCAGTATAATTCACCTTCATCACAGCACTGCACTGGAGAAAGGGCTGGTAACAACCTTCCTCTCCAGAGCCACAAAGCCTCACAACTTCCAGTTCTCATTCTCACACAGCCTAGACCAGCAGAGTTAATACCTGAGCAAATTCATGCCCAGAATTCACTGTAAACAAATCTGGGGTCTAAACATAAGTGAAACAATTATTTTTGAGCAAACAAACCCCCTTGGGATACTTTCACCCCCCCAAACAGTGTTGTACCAAGCAAGACCAAGGGTCACCCAGCATGGACAAACAGAAACCATCACATTGTCTCAGGTCACTCTGTCCAGCCACTTACCAAAGACAGAGACTAGTTCTCTACTGAAGACAGAGAAGAACACGACAAACCTCTGTAAAACTAAGGGATTACAGGTACCAAATAACCTCAGGGAACAGGGAGGGACAATGTGCAGGACAAATTGGAGCTGCACAGCTGAATGCAGCCAAACCCCTCAAAAACCTGCAGAATTTTAACAGCCCTCGACCAGTCCAGGAGGAACTGCTTTAATTACAAATTCCTAAAACACCCACAGTGCAGAGCCTTAGGGAACACTGGGCTGCTCAGCTTCGAGGCTGCCTAGATAAATTATTTGCTCTCTCAAACTTTACACCTCCCTGTAGGACCCACACAATTCCCCTCAGGTGACAAAACTAAGCTGGTGCAGACTTACAATTTAACCAAAACAACTAAGCCATCAACCAGGTATTTAGGAGACTTAAAAATTCAAGGAACACTCCACCAAATGGAATCACAGATATATACATTAACTAACTACATTAGCAACTTCCATTGGGGCTAAGATGCATAGCTGAAGAGCATGTTTATAAATACAGGCTTAAATGTAAACAGAGGACCCTATTTCTACATGAAATCCACCATCTCTGTCAGAGAGAAGCAAAACTCTCACAGTTCAGCAGCACCACCAATTCCACACATACAGTGCATTCATTTACTCTGGGGCCACAACTCACCTGCCTGCCATTTCATGCCCTGCTCACCTGAGGACACACACTGTCCTTATCTACAGGTGTCATGCAGAAAAACCTGCACATGCACCTAAAGCAACGTCCCATGGCCTATTTCTAGAGGCCTGACAACAATTTCTGACTACATGCACAACACGAGGGTCTGGGGAGAAACCCTGCTTACTGAGAGCTTTGTTACAGGTCACTGTCTTTGGCAGGGAGTCTGCAAACAGCAAGAAAACTTGTCCTTGTGCCTTTCTGAGTTTATGGGGTGGAGGTGGCTATGAATTGCTGCACTGACATCTGGATGAAGGGAAAAATGGATTATATGTGCTCTTGCAACTGCCTCTGCTTGTGCACCAATGGTGTAAATAAACACAAGTAACTACTTGCACCCTTCCCTCTCATGCAAAGCCATGGAGAGCTACAGTGCACTCCGTGTGGTCACAGCAGAGCAGGAGACAGTACAAAGCAAGCAGCTAAATGAAGGTTTGGAAACAACCCCCACAATACTGACAATGTCATTAATTCCTGGGCTTACTATTAGCTTACACTAAAGGCAGATTTTGCTATATGAATTTCAGAATCTTCAGGGAATTGGTACAGATATAGAGGGGAAAAAGCTGTTTAAACTGGTGCCTTCTTTCAGGTCTGATACACTCAAAGATTGCAAGAAATACTTGCGCTAATATGAGCTATTAAAGAACTTCCTATTGGATTCAGAATGACACAGCTTTGCTATCACCTTTGCCATACACACAAATCATGTCAGGTGTTACTGGGAGAGGTGGCACTGCTGGGTCAGCACAGCTGGCGTTTCTGAGCGCAGCAGTGCTGCGGGCCTGGAGGTGACCAGGCTGCTGAGGAGAACACAGGCACGTACCACTCCATTTGTCCTCTTTCCTCAGCTTTATTTCAAATGAACAGAGTTTTGGCTCTTGCCTAAAACAGTCTGAGACTTTTGAGCTAGAGGAGTCGCATTGAAAAGTTTCCATTTACTGACACTGAAAACAATGCTATCAAACCAAGGATCTGAACTTACAAGCTCGGCCAAGGCCAAGTGACCTCGATCATTCAACTCCAGACACTGTTTTCAGAGCCAGCAAACAAACCCAGAGACTACTGACATTCTGCTTTGTGCTGTTTGCAGTAGGTACCTGACCACAGAAATAGGCATTAATACGGAACCTGATACATGCAAAAATCCTACTTAATGTACAAAAATATCAACTCAGTGGTTTTCACTAACTACTGTAACAACAGAAGGAGCAGCCTTACAGCTAGATCTGCCAGAGCTGGAGCATTAAAGACCAAAACTCTTAAGAGCTGTTGCACCTACATAAGAACATACATCCTCTATTTCACTCTAACCTAGCTCCATCTTGCTGAATGTCAAAGTACATCACATTTAGAAGGACCACACACTGAAATAAGTGCCCAGGGTTGGGCACCCCTGGGATGGAGAGGGTGTTTATACTAAGGAGACTGAGCTCACCAGCCAGGAAATGCCAGACTACTCAGTGCTCAGGTGAGTGCTGGAGTTGCACTGCCTTCCTAGTTACCACTGCCAGGGAAACCAGGTGCCCTGTAGGGGTAATTTGGAGGCTGTGACCCAGGTACTGCTCCTCCCATCCTCTGCAGAACACTTCATCACCCAAAAAGTGCTGAGGGAATGAGCCATGGGCATGGAGAAGAGCATGCAAAGCATGCTTGTCTGGGAACATCTCCAGGACATGAAGAGTAGGAAACAACAGAGGCTTCTGTCCCTGCTCCATGGCCATTTCTGGGTTTACTCAATCACTGTGCCTAACACACACACTCAGTAGCATTCAAGGTCTATCAGAAGCTCTGGAGGTTTTCAGGTTTTCATCCTGACCCAT